AGGGTCTGCATAAAATATTAATTACCCTATTATAAGAATTTCAATTTGTTGTACGCTTTTATGATATTAGAAACTATTAAAACTTGAATCCTCTTCGTCATTTTCTCATTAATTAATGAGCCAGTTTCTTCATCAATGCCCAGGAGCAGATGAAACGAACGAGGCTGTATTAGAGATGTACAGAACATCATTTCCTATTCGGTAAAAGCTTGCCCGATATTTTCGTATTCAAAGGAATAACTTCTTAAATGTCTTGATTGAGGAGAACTCCTCAATTACCACAGCTGCCCTGAAAGCTTTCCTCTTAATCTCGCTGCGATTAAGTTTGTCTCAGCACAGTTATTCACGTAATGAGAAGTGACCCCTGCGAAAGTTCTGAAACGGCAGTCGAAATGGTTTAGGTTTGCAGGTCACCGTGGAGGAAAATCCAATAAAAAAGTAATAGATCGTATTCTTTTCATTGAGAGAAAGAATTTTGTTAATTTAACAATCAGTATCTTTAACAAGTGATCTGTAAATATGTGACAACAAATTGGTTTGTTTTAATTGCTGCTAGTCTGCTATACACTAACTAATTATTAGTACCAGAAGTAAACTATATAGAATCTAACCTATCTTTTGAATAGATTTTTGGATAGACTTTAGGCTCGTTTACATAGAAATCGTAAATGATCGTGGAGTCTTAAATCGTAGGAAACTGACTAATCACAATCAAATATAGGGAAAATACTTGACTAGAATTGGTCAATTTCTTACTATTTGAGATCCTACGACCGTCTGCGACTTCTATATATATGAACCTCTTAAGGGTCCTCTATATAGAAGACGTAAACGGTCGTGAAGTCTTAAGTCGTAGGAAACTGACCAATTCTAATCGAATATTCTCCTTATATTTGATTGTGATTGGTTGGTTTCCTACGACTTAAGACTCCACGACCGTCTACGACTTCTATGTAGAGGACCCTTTATTTGCAAGCGATTATCGATTATTTGTTACGTTGACGATTATTGATTATTTGTTACATTGACGAATGAGAAATAATTAATTTGCAATAATAACTAATCAATCATTTTTTAAACAAATATCGCATTTGTTTCCCCTTGATTTGTTCCTATAACCATATGATCTAGCACTGAGAGAAATCATTTCTCTCAGTGCTAGATCATATTCAAATCATTTATAGTAAGTATAGTAAAGTATATTGATCGACGATTTATACATAAACGAGAAAAAATTTGTTGAAAGAACTAAAATTAAAAACTTCATTGATTGAGCAAGTCTACAGCTAAGAGCGTCTGTAGAATTTTCCTAGGGGGGGGGGGAAACTATGAGATTAAAAGAGCCAATTAGACTGTTATTAATCGCTAAAATTATTATTCAATATTAATACATCTAAATTACAATTACAGACGACGTTTTAAACCTGAATATCTTCATCAATAAAATTAATATTTGTCTTAAATATATATATTTGTCTTTATATATATAATAGACAAAAACGGATATATTTATATATGTATATATAAATATATACATATAAAATCTCGCTGTAGGTCAAATATTTTATTATATATTATATAATAAAATATGAGTTGTTCTTCCTTACTCCCGTATATCCGTTTTTGTCTATAAATTATTACATTGATCTGTCTTGAGCGTTGGTTATTTTTCGATAGCTCTGGTAACCAACAGAGAAATCATTTGATTTCATTGCCAACGTGATATCAACTATCAACATTCTTTGATGGAATCCTTGATATACTTAGAATCCTCTCAGAATCACCAAATAAGTATATTGTATATGATTGTGAGAGGAATCTAAGTATCACGTCGGCAATGAAATCAAATGATTTCTCTGTTGATTACCAGAGCTATCGAAAAATAACCAACGCTCAAGACAGATAAATGTAATAATTTATAGACAAAATAGAAGTAAGCAAGAACAATTTCTGTCTTATTATATAATATATACACTTGGTTGACAGCGAGATTAAAAAGAATTTAAGATAAATATAAATTTTACTAATAAAGTCTACATTTAGGATCGTTATTAGGAAACGTCGTTTGTAATTTCGATGTATTGATTTTGAATAATAATTTTAGGGATTAACAATAGTTTAATTATAGTTCTTTTATTCTAATAGTTTATATATTAATTTTGAATTTATATTCATTTGAATCTTAATTATATTATCTATTAATTGATAATAATAATGATAACGTCTTTATTACACAACTCTTTTTACTTATTTATATTCACATACATATGTTTGTGTGTTGTATATACTTACACACATAAGCTTGTTATTATTATTAGAATATATAGATATATAATTATACCAAGGTATACACCTTTTCGTATTGAAAGCTTTCTTACCATGACTCGAGATCTGTTCTTTATTCCTGTACTGTCTGAACTGGTGCATACAGTGCAATAAGTTGAAGCGATGTATTAGCGCATTCAATTGGAAGCACTCAGTGCGCCCTGGTGCATGTTAAAGCCGTTGTACACTAATTTAATTTGAGCATAAAAATAAAATGCAGATATTTCGAATTATGAAATACATATTTTACCTAATACTACAATAAAATGTATTTCACGATTTAATTGATTTCTATATTTATTTATAAATATATCTTTACGTTATTTTGTGTACGATGGCTTTAATGCGCATCAGTGCGTCCAATCGAATTCGCTATATATATGTTTCACTTCAAATTATTGCACCAATTCAGGTAGTGCAAGAATAAAGAATAAATTTAAGGTGTAAACCGAGAAAGAAAAATTGTACTAGAATAATTGTCGCCCGAGAAGGGGCAAATGCCCTTTTTGTCTTCCCTCTCCGCAGGATGCTCATATCTATAACAGACTCAATATATAGACAGACAGTCTTCTAGTTAAAGTATTTAAGTAGTAAAGTTGTACAACTGAATAAAATTAGCAATTATAAGTAGTCATATTTATTATAATTGTACAACAAATTTAATACAGCAGAAATAACTTTCTATGAAAATCCAATACCTAGATTAAAATGTTTAACTAAAATATGCTAGTTAAGATAGTACGTAATGTTGATGTTGTAATAAAGAAAACTTATTATATTAACGATTTTTATTGATAATTGTTTAGATATAATTTCTTTGCCAAACCATCAAATCTTCTTAGTTAAGGCCATTAAATGTACAAAAATTTTAGTCATAATCGTAAGGTCTCAAGTAAATCGATCAATCACAATTAAAATTGCGATCTCATGTTTCGACTGTAATTGGCCGATTTGATTATGGCCTTATGATTACGACAAAAATTTTTGTACAGCCTTTATAAATGTTGAATTCACGTAACAAGATACAGCTTTGCTAATATATTTATTTTCGTGATACGCATGACTTTGACGATAGTTACGTACGCATCGTACCGTCCTTCGAGTTCCATAAACCTCGTTCGGAGTTTGAAGGACGATAAGAACACGATGGTGTTTCGCTGCAAGTTTCGCCTACTTTATTGTGCCAATAATTTACTCGCAGCAAGAATAAAGGTGCTCCGCAGCCTTATGCCGGAGATGCATTCGTCTAATCTCTCAGAAATGAACCATGGGAGCTGGAATGTTCCCTCCTCGTTTCATTCGAGCAGACATACTTTCCACGACTGAAGTTTTGAATTGACGCCGAGCGACAAACAACGGACTTCCCGTCGATTGTTCTTGAAAAGTTCGCTGGATCTTCGAGGCTGCAGTTCCTGTTTAATGAGTAAACGAAACCGCCAACGTGCCGAAATATAAAGGCGTTTTAACCTTTCAGAGTTGAAGTGTGTTACTTCTTAAGCAATTAATATCCTGAAAGGAGTATTAATTTGTAAAGCGTAGCTAAGTTTCGCATTTCGAAGGAGTTCAAAATAAGACGAAGACTGTGAGAAACAGAACAAAATAAATTTCATTTTTTTTTTCAGGAAATAAAAACACAGATTACATAATATAATGCTGAAACAACTGTAATACAACATTTACGCAACAATTTTCTGCGACCCAACATTTAAATTGAAATTTTCTATCTACAAAGCTCGCATTTGGTTTAGAATGCAAAATGTAATTGTGTATGCAAATTAAGGCGAACCTCAAGCGTGAATTTGTTCAAATAAATAACTTTCTTGACAAGAAATGCAATTCTCACATCATTTTCAGAGAAACCAATGCTTTTCCAGCGACGTTATGGCACACGTTACCAAAATGACGTACTATCAACAAAATTGCACTCACTTAATTCTCATTAATAAAATTATGAATTGCAATTTAGCGCTCATCTTTTGATCAATATATAGTGAGCTAAGTGATACCAACGACAATAGAAAAGCGCGTGGCTTATAGCAGTATATAAAACCCCGTCTTTGTTGCCGCGTTATTGGCTTTTCTCGAGTGAAATGTACAGTTTCCGAAATGAATCGAGATTAAGTAGAACCAAAAAATAAAATTCTCCCGATTAATGTGATAAAAAGAGCAGCGCTTACTCTCGATATCTTTCGTTTGAGAAATTAATTATCGAATCGATTTAATCGCCACGAGATCTTAGTGGTCTTTTTCAGATAAGTGCCATTAGATGTTTATCCGCGTCGATTAAATGGCATCCTTAAACTACGCTTCGTGCTAAGTATATGTATTGCTTTCAGATCCTAGGATTTCGTTAGCGAGAGCTATTGATGGTATCGATTCTACCCCGGCATTTACAGTCCACTTTCGATCACGGGCGATGTTCGAGGCAGTGGAAGGGCGCGTATCTGTCGTCCGATTCTCTTAATTGGATTCGCTGGCGTTTCTAAATCTTACGAAGCAGCGGCTAAAATATGTTAAGTGCAATTATATGAGAACGAATTCTCCAGAGTTCTCTCTTTGTAGCCTTGGACACGTCGTCTTGGACTGAGGAAGGAGATCGATTGACTTTAATGTTTCTGTTTTGCTCCTGACTGACCATATAAAGCGATTACGTTAACCCCTTTAGGAGAAGATACAGTAAGGACAACAGAAGACGGTCGATTCATGGAATAATACATCCTTTGTGTCGCTTTTGAACTTGCAGGAGTTCAATTTGCTGGGTACGCTTCCGGCGGTCATGCCGCCCGCACTGCGTGTGTCCTAATCCTTACACAATGAACCGACGATGGAGCGATTATTCATAACGCTGCCGGATGGCACAAAATAGGTCGAATTATTCAGCAGTCCAACGAGTTGGAAATACCTCGGATGTAAATCGTTTGCTTGCGTTTGAATTTTATCTGTGGATTAAGCAGTTATTCCGCACGCACGCATTCGAGGCTTTAATGTCTGCGGGGATGCATTATTGTAATGCGACGCGTATGAAAATATCATTATTGTGCAGAATTTAATATAGAATGCGTCCCCTATGACATAAAAGAGCAAAAAAATTTTACTTACTAATTAAAAATCTGACAAAGCTGTACAATTTGTATATACAGTTACGTGTGTGTTAGCAATTTTAAATTAAAATCTCCTTTCGAGGATTAACCTTTAAGTGAGGTGGCCACAGTACCTCAGGTTTTTTTTAAATTTTATTCTGGAGAAGAAAAATAAAAACCTGAGTTTTGCCCAGGTGGCCAGAAATTATTATTATTATTATAATTAAAAAATTATAATTATGTCATATTATTTTTACGTTCTTCTATCTCATAAAAATATATAACTGATATATATAGGGGGAAGTCCCTATATCGTACCCCCTAACGTTTAAACAAAATTGTAACAAAAATACTGAAGAGATCAGAATATCTCTGTACTTACGTTAAACTTTGGTTCATTGGCAATAAAACAAAATAATATTTTTACAAAAATAAACATTAAATTATTGTTTAAATTAGATTTAAAAAAAAGTAGCTTTCGGTACGATTTGGAGACCGAGTCGTTAAATTGTACCACCTGGTTCCTAAATCGTACTTCTAATATAGCAAACAAGTTGACATTGCTTATTGTCATTTTGACATTAAAATAACATCTTTAACGTCAAAATGAAAAAAATAAACATTAAATTATTGTTTAAATTAGATTTAAAAAAAAGTAGCTTTCGGTACGATTTGGAGACCGAGTCGTTAAATTGTACCACCTGGTTCCTAAATCGTACTTCTAGTATAGCAAACAATCTGACATTGCTTATTGTCATTTTGACATTAAAATAACATCTTTAACATCAAAATGACGGTAAATAACGTCAGTTTGTTTATTGGAAAAATAAACAAAATTCATTTTAAAACTCATTTATTAATTTATTTTTAATTTCAAACTGAGTATACATATTTAAATATAGGTATAATAAAAACTTTTCTATCATAAAAACAGAAATTAGACTCTGTGTATTTTAAACTCATTTAAGAAAACAAAGTAAAAAGCAATACTTAAATTGGTTTAAGCTATCATTACACTATTTTTCAGAATATTAAAACCTCAGATATTTTGAAAAAATAAATTTTGGAAATAAAATCAATTACGGATTTTTCCGTCACAATAGAAAAGATTCAATAGAAAGACTCAATAGAAAAATTGAATAGAAAAACTCAATAGTTGATACGTAATCACTTTCTTGAGCACTTATTTAAACAGTTTTAGTAAATGTCAGAATTGTCACTACAGGTTTCGTGCAACCACTTAGAGCACCTGACACACTAAATACAGTCCACTGTAAATCCTTTTTATCATAATAGTAACCTCCACATATTGCTCGCGTCACTTGCGAAAATCTTACCGGTACAATATAAAGACCAGCGACAAGTACGATTTACCCAACTCTCTCTATTTTTACAAATTTCCCAATAGCAACATAACTTATAAATATTTTGCTAATTTGATGCTATACTTCAAAAGAATTTAAATATCAATTATAATCTCATGAAAAACACTATAATTCAATTACCCACCTTATCAATACAATACGTACTACAATATTTAGTAGAATAATGGCAAAATTGTGTAATAATAGCCCCGTTTGGATTATTTCGAATTCACTATGTCTAGTTTGAAATTAGCCTGGATTGCCTGTTTGCATCGAATCCCAGTGGCGAAACAGCGGAATTCCCCGAACAGTTTATCATTCAGTAAACTTGCGCTAGGTACCAAGAATATCATTTCCCGCTATACTGCGGACACCTAATGCCTTCGTCGATCGTTTATCGCCTCGTTGTGGGTCCGATAAGACGGCGGACGATCTGCGCGATATATGCGACTGCAACCATTGGATGAATTGATTACATAACTGTAGATACACGGTTAGATGCACTTGGTATCTGTTCTCGGTAGTTGTTAAAGTTTATTACTCTGATATACGCATTAAATAATGTTTGGAAGCATAAATAACACACGGAAAGAATAGTTTTGCTGAAGGATCTAAAGTTTTGCTACAAATCCAAAAGTAATTTTGATCCATCAAAAATATTTTGACGGAAACTCAAACTGGTTGCTACAATATCAAATTTTTTTGCAGTATCGTGTTTTAGTTTCCAGTATATAATTATTTTAGTTGTCCAACAAAATTATTTTTAAATCTGTATCAAAATTTGAGATCTTTTAGCAAAAAGTTGTATATTCTAATAAAAAACATACCCAGAAAAAAAACTATTCTTAAATCAACCATAATACACTCATAATAAGCAAAAATATTATAATCTTGCTTTAAAGATTTTAGTTATTTACAAAAATATTGTAACCTTGCTTCAAAGATATTAGTCTTGATTTGATCAAATTTGTTTTGATGCAAGTACTTGCTTTGCACTCAATTTAAGACTTGCTCAATCAAAAATCTTACATTAATATAAATTCATAATATTTTTCCTTATATCGGATAAATTATGGTTGGTTTAAGAATAGTCTTTTTTCCATGTACGCGAAGGAGAAAATAGTTAATCAAATTTAATCAAGTTTTTGATTAAAAAATTAAGTTATAAACAGTATTTATACGTGTATATTTAGATATTTTTTATCGGCATTTCAGTAAGAGTATTTCTAAAAGATTATCTAAGAATATTTCGCAAAATACATTTTTGAATTAGGTATTCTATTGTTGAATGCGAAAGTGAAGGATTCGTCGCACCGATCTTTCTTCTACATTTTATATTTTCATACACTTGTAAATTCAATGTGAACGAAGCACTTTTCTCTGCGTATTGCGATGTTTCAGAGATGTAGGCTCCATCTCGCAGTTTATGAAAAATCGACATCTGAGAGATAAATCTTTCTGCCATGCTTTATCCGTCAATTTTTACAATCTGAATTTTGAATAAAATCACAGGTTTGTTAAAATTCTGGGAACAATTTTCACAAAAAACTCTTATGGACCAATTCGTTTTATTATAGCGTTTCATCGATACTTAATTCAAATTTTCCATCAACTTCCATATTCATACGATATCTACTTGTTACGGCACAGAGAAAAATGAAGAATCATTTTCCTTTATAAAGAGAGTATCATGTCTCTTTGATATAATAGCAATTTGAGTACAAAGTAATTCCCGAGATATTTTAAACAAGATTATACACGATGATAAACTTCCGAAAGGACACTTTTATTTTTATAAAAATTCATCAAGTTGTATAATAGGTATGTATATCCAGTTGTATATCACATTGTCAATTATCCCGACTATAAATAATGGAGTTTTATATTAAATGTTTATTGTTAAGAAATATACAACTAATCACTTTAATGGATGGTGGTTTCGATGTGGTGGTAAAAACACGAAAGGACAAATTAGCATTGAGAAAATAAAAGTCACAAACGCAAATATGATTAAAATGGAATTTTTAAAGAAACATTTTTTTTATTAATTAATATAATTTATATTAAACAATTATATTCTCAAATTTGTTGAAAGTTACTTTTTTATGCACTTATAATTAACACATTTAATTAACGTCGCATTTTCCAGAATTCTTACTATTTAGACATTGTAGCAATTGCGTTTCAGGTCAACTAAAGTTAAAATTAAGTTTACCTAAAATTAGTTCAAGAGAGAGAGAGTTTTTTTGTTATCTATTTGCTCATTTCTTTTCCCTTGCGGCAAAATTCGTAAAAACTTTTTTCTGATGCAACTAAAAATGTTTACGTCTTGATATTTTTATGGAAAAAAGTACGTTATTTAATAATATTGAAGACCATCATTTGCACTTATCACTATATTTGTAAAAAAAGTACTTAATTTTAAGTTTTAACGAAGTAGAACCGCTAGGAAGAACAAATTTAGAGAGGCCAAATCTCGAAACCACATACGTGAGAGTATTGAATTATCAATTTCGTGTAAACTAAATATAGTTCCTGCATAAACTGAAGAACAGATCGCGTTTGCTAAACGTCATTATGAAAAGAGGGATGGATGCGACGCGCTCAATTATATTCTTTTCCAGCTGAAACTCGGTTTTCCTGACGAGGCAATTCGTTCTTATTTGCAGCCTAGGTCATAGCGAAATAACGTTCGGAAGCCGCGTCAATGTTCGAGAACGGATGAGATGGTAGAGTCAGCATTCATCTTAAATATTCAATTTTTTACTAATATAGTATCTCATCGGCAAACGATATCATAATCAAAGGAAAAAGATATTTTACCGAGAATCATTAATCTTTTTCGTTTTTCTTTCGTTGCGGAAGTTTGCTCAGGCTATGGTACGTCAGGATGAGATAGAAGAGAAAAATATTAAATTCGTATTTTTAAATATTTCTTGAATATCGTTTCGTCTTAAAAGCGTACATCAGGTAAAAATGGAGCTCGTAATTCGAGATGCAGGTGGTTCAATAGCCATGTTTGCTTAGAGAATAGCTGATTGTGGGACTACTCAGCTGAGAAGTCAAATAATTTTTCGTGTGGAATTTAGCTTGAGAAAATGATTAAAAGAGTAACATGCGATCAAAATATATCTCTTTAAAATTAATGTTTAAAGTTTTCGCCGAAATATATGTCATAGTTTAATATATAAATGTATGAAAAATATAAAAAGTTTACAAAGCGAAATAAGAAGAGTAGATGGCAAAGAATAGATTGCTTTCGATACTTGTTAAAATGGTTTGGAGTAAGATAGATAGAGATAGTAAATATCAGTAAAGCGTGAATTGACGTAGA